AATTTTAAACTATATAGGTATACTCGTACTGGCATAGGTAATCGATAATCATAAACGAAAATAACATTACAAATTTTACAAGACTTAAACTATTCACGAGTATAATATGTATCACTATATCAGGTTATTATTTAGCGGTGGGGGGGGGGCAATTACTTATAGTAATAACTAATGTCAGTGTGCCTAATTTTGTGAAATAATTCGACCTAGATGAACAACCGCAAGTCGTCGGTTGGATTTAGCACTTGGTATATTTTTTTATGTGGTTTAAACTACTTACTCTCTAAACTTTCCGGTACCTCTAAAACAATCTCTGAGATTTTTTTCAAAATCAATCGAGTAGTATTATATGATGCATGGTTGTACCTGATCTGCCCCATAAGTAACCAATAGCAACCATGTATAATATAACTGTATAGGTATTATACGAAAAAAGGTTTCAATTCCTACCATGAATCTCAAAATCCTTGTCTGAGGATGTCTTTACAACGCAAAATTTATAAAATCCCTTTTTAGTGGGACTCTACATCATAAAACGAAACTACTGACCAAATTTCACTCTCATAGCATCAGTGTTTCTGCAGGCTAGGCGATGATGAATCAGTCAGTCTGGATAAGTTAATTTATATATTACATATATATGACCACAGAATAAGACAATATATGACTGTCAATCAAATCCATCACTATCAATACTTGTATATATATTATATGTTTAATTTCATAGCCTGAAATAGGTACATCATTTCCAATTTATAAAAACATATTATAATAATTTTAGTCCCTTGTTTTAATATTTTACAATCTTTAAAGATTTGATTTCATGATGCTATAACAACCGAATTTAATACATTACATTCTACTATCAACGCAAACAACTAAAATGTATTGAATATTTTACTTGAAACTTCATAAAACTATTAAAGTCGATACGGTGAAATCTAAATAGTTAAAATAATAAATTCTTATGTGATGGAAAACGCGTCATGTTTAATCTTAAAGTTTATGTGTATAGGCGGCCAATATTTGGGTTGTATGATTATAGATTTTAGTGCATTTTACAAGACGATCATCATTTTTAATCGTCACGTTATTCTATTATGGTACAAATTCCCAGCCTCGATTATTATTATCAATTATAACAATCCGTCGTTTTTTTAAGACGTCGACTAGTAGTTCATCATAATATTATAACTGTCACGGCGTAGGTACACGTAAAGTGCAATACTATACTGGCTGATGGGCCAATATTTAGATGTATTGATTACGATACTCATCGATAGAATCACTCTGTATGCACAGCGAGGGGAGCACACTGACGATAACGGTGTTGGCTGTGGCGATAGGGTGCACGAGTAAATATAATAATAATAATAATACATATATATAGGTATAGACGTATACGCATTCGGTCGGCTGTGTGTGTTTTGCAGCTCTCGCTCTGCGCAGTATTAAACGAACTTAATTCGCGACGAAATAATACGCACCGGTGCGTGTGTGTGTTTATTTACCAGGACCGAAACGTATACGCACGTTAATTATATATAAATATAAGTATATGTATACGTAAATATGCGATATTTTTCGATGTTTTCCGTGTTCTCGCAGTATTCAGTCAATTATTTTGGGCTTTGAAAACAAATACGAAAATGCTTATAATCCGCATACGTATAATCCGAAGAACAATATGTATTTTTGAAAATCGTATGTAAATCGCCGAATTTCATTCGTTAATAGAAGTGTTAAATATGGACTATAATATACTCTTTTCCGGGATAAACTCGAATATTTCTCTAGCCAACGAATATATCGATATGGCTGACACATATTGTGATCGGCACTTGAAATTGCGATTTCCGATGAGAAACGCCCAGAGAGCCTTATAATATAATACTGTAGGTGTAAAAAACATCTGTGATGTAAAATTATTACGTACACAACCTCATCGTATCCCTCATGGCTTTATCTATTAAATGTAAATATATGTTGCGGTTGTAGAAAAAGTTATGTGTTATGGACGGCAGTGGTATACTGTGTTGAACAGGTTGGTGGTAATGACGTGTCCGTTGATTGCAGCTACCACGATTACGCTCCGCAATAGGTGCAGTAAATACTGCGGACAAGTGAGAACAGTAGCCAATAAAGCGTCTACCATGATTGCATTTTTAAATTACTGTATTTTGCAAACAGATTATTTAAAATGAAAAAGTTAATTATAAAAATAATTGTATACGTTTCTGGTACATAGGAGTTATTTAATTCATAGTTGCGGGTATCAAGTTTATACACCTATACGTACTTATTGTAAACAAAAGAGGGAATGCAGGTAACCGATTTGCTGTACAGAAGTACAACAGGTGTCGACTGAATGTGATCATTGTAATGTGTGTGTACAATTTAAATTCAATGATAAATTTAATATTAAATTATATATAGGCGTATAATGGGAAGATAAGGGGCCTATAGCCCCCTCCCCCGTATAAATTCATCATACTACGCCTATGATATTAAACGAAAAATGATTCTAAACGAATACTGTCTGTCTGCTTAAAATATTACCAAGTATAATTTATGACATATAATAATATATACACAACGTTATAAAAGAAATTTATTTTATTATTATAGTAATAGTGAAATACAATGTGTTGAATTAATTTTTGCCGAAAATATTACATTTGAAAATGTCATTGTGTGTTTATTATAATAAACCTACCTACAATATAGGTATTATGTAGGTATATTAACTAATTGGAAAATCAGAAGCTTTAATTCAAAATACAATGCAGTCAATGCAGATGTTCTAATTTCTATAGTGAAATGTAGTGTATGATTAATAGCCATATAAATTATCATGGTGTAAGACATGAATTTAAAATTCGAAAATAGCTATTTTGTAGATTTATTCATTTATTATACAAATGAAAAAAAAAACAATTTTGAAATTGATTGAATTTTGAATGAATATTTTAAAAAATATAGCATAATATCACAGATTATATATTATATTATTATCAGTGATAATATTGTAAAAAGTTTTAGTTTTCACACTTGAATACATAACTATTATTCTATTCCTATATGTAATATAAAGAACACACTATTCGTTGAAATTGTTTATAATATTTTGTAACTATTTTATAATCTTGTTCAATATATCTACCGTGAACTGCTATGAATATAAGTAGGTAAGTTAAATTGTAAGGTTATTCGTTTTTGAGTTACACCAAAAAATAAACAAAATCGATTTTGTCAAACATTGGTTTTTCGTAAAATGTCCCGTTTTTCCTTGATTTGTTTTCTCGGTTATTTTGAAAAGTACTGAGTATGTTTTATTTTTGATCCCCTCAAGTATACCAACTAGATCCAATTTTCTACCAGAACCATCCCCAAAATTGAAAATCGAAGTATTTTTACTTGTAAAAAGAATCGTCTGACAGAAAAAAAAGATACATTGTTGTAAAAAAATATATTCATCGCTCCGTTCAAAATCTAAAATTATATATAGGTATTATAAATGTAAAGCGAGTGTTCATAAAATAAATATAAAAAAATATTTTAATATGGATTAGGAAAAAATTTAGTTGTAAGTTTATTCTGTTATTTTAATATTGTACCCTGTACACAAATATTGAAATATATTCGAATTATCATTTAGTACAATATGTGCGTGCTTTTTGTAAATTGTTGTAGACGTACCCATTATTATATGCTAACTTTATTTCTGTAAAAGCAAAAAATCAAATATATGTTTAATATTTCATTAATCCCAAAAATTAAGTAAAAAAAATTAACAAATTTATGTTTGTAATCCCAAATTGAAACAGTGGGTAGGTCAAGATAAAAACTGTTGATTATACACGATGATCCAACAATAGAACATATTATGGATTAGTAAAAAAGAATAACATCAACCGTCCGTCACACACTTTGCAAGCGACAACAAATTATAAGTACCATCAAAAGTGGTCGGGAGGCTTGGGAATTATTTGTCGGGGGCTAATCCTCCATCAACCTACCCACAGTTCTGAGGGGCATGTACCAGTTACCCCCAAAAGTACCTTTTTTTTATACCAAATCCCCCCAAACTACCTAGAGGAAAAAATACCAGTTGCCCTCAACTAAATGTACCAGTTGCCCTCACATGTTAATATATACACAAATACAATATATAGCTCGTAAAACAAGGGAGGTAAATATACAAATCATAAATACAATATAAAATTCAAAATTGCAATAATTTGTTAATTTAAAATAGTACAAAATCAAAATATAATAATTTGTCAACATATAAATAGTATAAAATTCAAAAGTATTATGTTTTGTTATAATAATTACTAACCGATTTTACAAAATCTAATCTGCTAATATTTTTGGTTTTTATATTTATGTTATCGGATACAATAATTGACGGATTGAATTCAAGTTCAAAGCCAGAGCAATTTTCTTTTTACATACTAAATAACAATTCATACGTTTTCGATGATGATATCCATTCAGACGCATCTAAAATTACATGTTATGCTGACAAATTATTATAATTTTGAATTTTATATTTTATTTATGATTTGTATATTTACGTCCCCTATTTTACGATCCATATATTGTATTGTGTATATATGTGAGGGTAACTGGTACATTCAATTGGGGGCAACTGGTACATTCGGTTGGGGGCAACTGGTATATTTTTAAAATCGCGACAATAGCCTCGGGAGTCGGGGGGCAACTGGTAAACACCCGTTCTGAGTATTGCAGCGCGTTTACCTAATAAACATATGACTGCAGAACGCAGACGATAGGCGGCGAATACAGTGATACGTGTTATATAAATAATAAATAATAATAATAATAATACACGTTTAAATAGGTATAGGATATCGGGTTCCGCGAACATTGCGACATGCGATTGGCGTGCAAGTACTATTAATATATAATAATACCTAATAATATTTCGAGTGCAGAAAACACAACATAATATTATTTTCAGCGTCCGTCGACGGTCGGCTATCGTTCGTGATCGTCGAAAATGCGTGCGCGTGGGGTTAGGTCACGCGATCGCGGTCTATTCGTTTACGTGGTGATAGTATAACCGAGGAAGCGTTAGACCAAAATAAAATATTACGTGTGTGAGTAGTCGTTATTGTGCAGTACGGAGTTTCTTCGTGCCGTCTACGCGTTTGTGTTATAATAATTTGTTGAAAAGAAAAAATATTCAATCTATACAACAATATTATGTGGGTACGGTGTAAGCACATGTGAATAAAATGTGATGGAACAAATTGGATATTTCGATGTTTAAAGTGCTCCGTATCGAAGTACCTAAAAATGCTACGATATCATTCAAGGTGATTTACCGGACACACTCACACTATTTTTTTCTTTAATCATTTATTAATTTATTCAAATTCTCATTTTTGGAATTTTTATATTTTATTTTACTATTGAAAAAAAAAATATAATATATTGATAAGTATAGTTTATATTTTTAGCGTTAGTTCTGTCATATCACTCTTAAGGCCCCTGCAACCCTATCAATTTTTCAACAAAACGACCTTAGCGACTAACAAAAATTAAGGTATTTCTAGTGATTCGTTTTAGCGAAGAAGTATAATTTGGATCGGTCGTGTCATACATTTAATATTTTTTACAGTTTTTTAATGTTATATTCAATGAAAAAGATGAAAATGGAAATGTTTATTCTCGTCAAAAATTTGCTAAAATTGAAAAATTGGTCCGGCCGATGCAAAGTAATCTTGTTGACGCATTCAAACATCCATACATTCTTTAAATTGAACCTTATAACTTATAAGTAAGTAAGTACTTAAATTTATGACAGTAGGCATAGCTATTTTACGTAATCACTTCTATAAATTGAAATCTTGAATATTTTGATCTAATGACTACATGACATGCGTGTACGTATAATATTGTGTATGATGAGGGCGATTGCCGATTGTTGAAGAGTATTACACACACTAATGATTATTTACTAGTCACTATACACACCCAAAGATGGACAGAGACTGAAAGAACAAAATAGTTGCCTAAACACAACTCCTGTAAAATGACATTTTCACAGGTATTAAAGTAGGTGAACGCAGGGTGTATAATTGAGTTATTCTACAGTATGTAAAGACGTGTGTAGATGAGACATCTATAATGGTAGGAACGATTTAAAAACTTAATAGATATTTAAAATCGTTTTAGTATTATGGTATCATTATGTGGTAAAAATCTCGTATATAATTTGTGTTAACACTTATCAGTTATCGGCAATAAATTTAAATCATCACAAATCACAAAACCCTCGTATTAATAGCTGTTTGTTTAATAAACTGTTACTTCATCTTTGAAGTTGAGTGCTACTTTCTTACTGTAACTTTTATTTTATTTTGCGGTTCCCGGTGAGTACCTATAGGTAATTAAAACGTTATGATATTATGTACCTCGTGTGTTACTATGGTCAAACAGAGATAAGACTTGGAGGAGGGAGGAAAAAGGACTAAACCTATTTTTTTCCCACAGGCCACAACTAATAATTATCAGCAAAAAAGTCTGTAAGATTACTATATGATATGATAGAGGTAACCCGAACTTAAATATGACCAAATGAGAGTATGGTGGACCTACTGGATACCTACTACTGTAGTAACTAGTAAGTATTGACACAGTGATTATTAACAATTAACTTGGGTGTACCTAAGTAAATCAAGGGTCGTGTTATAAAAAAGCTTAAAATTGGGTAGGTAGTTTAAACTGTTTGGATCAGCGGTTTTCAAACTTTTTTTTCGCGTACCACTTAAGAATATATTATCAATCAGTAGCGTACCGCTGATGATTAAAAATATAAAGATACAAACTTTACATAGTTACATACATTTATTTTAAATAATAATGCAGTAAAATACTACAATATAATTATTATTTATTTATACATACAAATTTATTAGTGTTTAAATTTAAGGTATGAATTAAATAACAAATGTTAATGAGAACCATGGATTTGTAGATTTGTTATTAGCTATGAAATATCTGGTTCAGTGTTACTTAAGGGCTTCCTTGTACCAACATATAATATTTCGCGTAACACTAGTGGTACGCGTACCAGTGTGAGAACCGCTGGTTTAGATATTTTTAAAATATATTAAAATAATAACATAAATATAATATTGGAAAAACTTTCAATTAGGTACTTTAAAATTACTAAAATTGGTAGAGGAAACCGTTATTTTTCGGTTTTTGTAGAATAACAAATGTTTACAACAATTGCACTTAACAAATGTTTGTAAATAAAATTATGTACACCCATGCGTATTTTCGATGTTTTTAATAGTTGTTTGAACAATTAATGAGGAACATTGTATTACATTTTCAGGCCTCGGATATACAAATTAAAAACTTTATGGAATGTTACACTAAAATATAATTTGCAAATATTCGAGATTTCTACGATTTTAGTCAACATTTTAAACCTTTCTTACCGTTTAGGTTGAACGTTGAACTCAAAATAAACCACCCACGTAATTGTAAACCTAATTTAAGTTAAAATTAAAAAAAAAGCTACAATCAGAATTTCAAATTAAGTTGTTTTATTATTTAAAATATTGTGTTAAACGGTTTTTAACAAAGATAAATTTTACATGACGTCTAGTTCGAAATTCGAATTCAAATTTATACTCGTACGTATGTAGGTAGGTACTAGGATGTACAATCGGTATCAGACATCAGTTAATCAGCCAAACACATAAAATAGTTTTCATAAATTAAAATTATACACGAGACATGTCACATGATTATAATGTATCGAACCAAACGATAATACTGTATACTTTATTAATATATTATAATATAATTCATATTTGTGTATAGAATTCGGATTCTCGATTATCTTCAAATACTTGTCGTTCATAGGTATCGAGTAGATAAACGCGGACAAACTTTAAACTTGGTTTATTGTTTTATCTAACCGGCGAGCACGTATATCGAAAACAAGTTTACAGTCGCAATGGATGTATTATATGGTTGTATAAAACAACTTTTGAAAGTCAAAAGGTTTCGGAAATGTAAAAGACCAATAAAAGTAAAAGAGAAAAAGGTCCCGAACAGACTTACGGACATTCTTATACAGCAGACGATGCTGTTATCTCAACGGCTCGAACATGTGTTTTTAAGAAACGTAGTCGGCGGAGTTCCGTAAGTCACGACTAGAGAAAAAGTTTGTCAGTTTATTTCTGTCACGGTATCTCATATATTATACATTTTTTACCAACTACACGCGTGTAGAATTTTTAGCAAAATATGTACCATGTGCTAGTGTTTTTTTTCATTTACCTTCCCTGAGTATTAATAAATTAAAAAAGATAAATAATTAAAAACAAATGAAATACGTTTTGAAACAATTTTATATTATTTTAATGGCATTTGTAACATAGGTAATAAAATTGACTAAACAAGTCATCATAATATAACGTGAAGGTTAAGTTTGGCGAGACAATATTATTTCATGCGACAATTGGTCAGCATTAGCTCCCATAACGCTTTTGTCGATAAGTATCATTCACATTTCGCATACGGCTTCAATACCTAATAATTGGAAAACATTTTCATACACCTGTATTGACGATTTGACCAAATATAATCGAGCATGCATCAGCGGTAGTAAACTTGAAATCGGGTCCTGAGAATATAATAATATTCACTATATTAGTATGATAGTTTAGTTATTTTATATTTAATTAATATGTGAGTGTATAGCAGTGGTTCTTAACCGGTGTTCTGAGGATTTAAAATAAGTGTTCAGCCAAAATTTAAAATCAGTAGAAGAAAGACGATTACAATTTTTAGTCGCATGGTCTTAACAATTTTATTTATGGTAGAGTTGGAATTTCATTTGGAGCTGATAATGCAAGTACAATTACAAGCAATTTCAATGATGAGATAAAAATAAAAAAAGGTCACTGGACAATATTACAATGATCATTTAAGTTTTGGGTTCACCTATGTTAATGAAAATCAACTTGAATTCTCCTTTGCGTAGTAAAGCTTTCTAATAACAATTAAAAAGCAATTAAAATTGTATTACAATTTTCAACATATAATTGTGTGGCCTTGGATTTTCAACATTGATGAATCTTATGATTAAGAAACGAGAAAGGCTGACAAACACAGAAAAGGTAATAAGAGTAGCAATATCCTACACATGGATATTGAAAATATTTGAAAAATTCATCAGGCTCAAATATATCATTAAATATACAGAGTATTCCATTTAAAATACTGAATTTTTTTAATTGTATTATTTTTTAGTGAAAATATATATCATGTTAACTATTTTGGTGCTATTTATGCATTGTTTAATATATTATACAATTTAAAAACATATTTTAATACCATTTTATTTTACACTGTGTTCCACAAAAATCTTTTAATATGTTAAGGGTTTTGTTATTTAAAAAAGGTTAAGAACCACTGGTGCATAAACTACCATAATATTCACATACGCTAAGAAATTGTTTAAAAACATAATATAATTAAATATATGTCAAATATTTATCAGAGATTGCATACCATGAATATATTTATTAATTGTTTCTAGTAAGGTACTTCAAATATAGGTACTTCTATAGGTACTTCGAATATTCCAGTATAAGAATTTGAAAAAATTCTGTTTATAAATTTAATTTTAATCAAATTCAAAAGTATAGAAACATTGCCATTATGTCAATAAAATAAAATATGAATAATAGTAGTAAACAACAATATTAAGATATAATACTTATAAGTTATAACTATACTATATATAAAACTTAATAGACTATTAGTTAATAGTTATACATGCTTTGTATATTATAATTAGTGATATACCTGACATTTTTAGTACTTTGATTACTATGCAATTAAATTATTATAAGTGTATAAAAGAATTACGAATAATATTTTAAGTTAAGTACCTACAGTATTAAATTTATTGGTTATTAGTTGATTGCTTAATTTATGATTCAAACAGTATATTTTTTAACCATATACGTACTTTTATGTCATTACATTAATTTATATTATTTTTTCAATAAATATACAGGATGTCCCGTGTAGCATATTACTGGTTTTTTAATAAGACTCAAGAGGACAAGAACATCAAATATTTCATGTCTTACCTAATTTATTTTAATGTTTTTTTAAAGAATCTATTATTTTATTTAATTATTTTAAAAAAAATTTATGATAGCAATTTTGTAGAGTTCATTTTTCCGAAAATATTGATATTTCAATTGCATTGATCTCCTGATTTTTAATATTTTTTCTAGTTTCGAGAAAAATTCCGAATTATTTAATACTACTCTATTCCAAATAAGTAAAATGGAAAAATGTATGACGAAAACACACCCAGTTTCGCGCAAGTGTGTCACATGATCTGCTAGCAGCCTAATCACGATGAGTAACCAAAACTGTAGCCTATCACAGCAAACCTGCATGCTCTATTTTTTCCAGACTTATTTGGAATTAAGTATATAGTGTTATCAAACATGTGGCCCGCAAGCTAGTACAGCCTACAAACGCTTTTAGTGTGGTCGACAATTTTTATTAAAACTAGAAAAAATATTAAAAATCAGGAGATTAATGAAAATAAAATGTTAAAACGTCAATATTTGTAGAAAAATGGCTATCTTAAATTTTTTTTGAATATTATTAAATAAAAAAAAAATTTTTTTAATTTTTTTACCAAAACATTAAAATAAATTAAAACGTGAAATATTTTAAGTTCTTGTCCCTATGGGTTATATTAAAAAACCAGAATTTTAATATTTCCATTATTTCAGGAGATGTCACTATGGGGAAATCCTCATGGGACACCCTGTATAGGTACTTAATCATTAAATAATTATTCATACATTTATATTATATGATAATTGATAATAAAACATAAAGAAAAAAATGATAAAATGATACATACAAATAATGAGACATCCCATCCCCGAGTACATCATACATCATTATGAATCTCTCATCAGTTGTTCTTACTTTTTTAGACTGTGAGTATGAAGTATGTAGATTAAAGGGTTTTAATTCATTCAATGATTAGGATTTATGTATTTTTATTATCTGTGTGAATAATTCTAACAGATTTCATTTGTATAATAATTAATTAATATGCTACTATTTTATTCAATAAAGGTATCTTTTTATGCACAGTACATTTATAGGATACAAACAATTATAGTTGGTAATATTTTCATTGTTTTAAATACATTTTATAATGTAAGTTTAGTAAATATTATATTATAATCTTAGATATTATCATGCATAGTTCATAGCAATCAGTTTATTCATTATTGAAGCAGAAAAGGGGATCAATAATAATAACGTTTGAAATAAAAATTATAATTATAAAATAATAATGACAGAAATAAAAATGTCAAATAACCCGGCAATAAAAATGAATACCAGCACAATAAACATTTATTTAAAATTAAACACGATAAAAGGTTAATGAAAATGTAAGTAGGATAAACAAAAATTTCAAACAATCATAAAATTATGAAATTGTATAACTAAGTGCTTAAACATTTTACTGTTTATTGCATTTTTCAAATTAATGTTTATTCAGAAGATAGTTACTCACATAGTTGTCTGTCTTACACATGCGACACACACATAATAAAGAAAATCTACATAATACCCTAATTACAGTTTATTTATAGTTCATATTAAATCATCTTAATATATTAACAAATTCGTAGAAAACAATACAAACTATGTTCGAGCAGTTTTTTTTTAAATTTTTAATCTAAACATTTTTTAATGAGTTATCATATATAATAATTTCAAGTTCATATAACTTATTTTTTAGAAACAAATGAAAAAAAAACTCTTTCTTCGAGCACAGTTTATGTGTTTCTATACACATTTGATAAAATTAAATTTACTCTAATATTAACTATGAATAATTTGTAGTAAAAATTAGTTGAATAGATTTAATATGATTTTGTGAAACAGAAACAACACATATGGGTACGAAATTTTCTTAGTGCTCTATTATAAGTTCTGAGCTTTTCTTACAACAAACAGTGATTGAATTGAATTTCTTTAATTTTCATGGATTCATTTTTTTCTCATTAAGTTTTCAAATTATAATATGAGTAAGTGGCTAAAAAAGTCTTTACTTAAAGTTCTAAATTTGAAAACAAAATTAAATGTTACAAGTAAAATGAACCTTAAATGTCCTGTTGTATGTAATTCAGTTTATTATTTAATATTTTTTTTTTTTTTGTACCATTCAAGGCATGGTAAAAGGTAGTAAAGATTATAGTATTATTGTACACTATACAAAAACTATATGTTTAAAATTTTAATACTAAAATTAATATTAAAAAAACTACTGTTTCATTTTTAAACAACATACTCACTGATAAAATATGATGCCTATGATAAAATAGGCTAACCGCAGATGACATTTCCATCAAAAACTTGCACAATCTATGAACATCCACACTTGCTGACAACAGGTTTTTAACAGATTGTTGAATAACCGAAGGATACACTGATATATGGTTCAGAACTAAAATCCATTCTTCCTAAATTATAAACATAATATAATTCATTGTAATTTAATTTTCTAAGACTACTGAATTAGTGGCAGACACTAGAAAAAATGTAATGGGTACACCAAATGACAATAGGCCTTCATTTTGATTTTCTACTATCTATAAAAATATGAATTATAGATATTATTATTTAAGAAATGAATTACATGGTTTATAATTTTGATTATATAATTAACAATTATGCACATTTTGTTAGTTTTTTAGATGCATACATGACAGAATAAATATGTTATCGGTGCATAACTAAAATATTTTTTTTATAACCATAAAATAACGATCCAGATGAGCCAATTATGGAACCAAAACATTCTAGGATATGCCCCTGTTGCTATCACTTGATATACCTAACTCACTTTACTAGTCAACAGTCCAAAGTTAACGGCACCAATGTCTGGTAAAGATTCATAGTAATTTTCAATAACACCCTTTTCATATGCTCTCCACACTTGACACAGCCTTGAGTAATTGTACATTATGAAAATACCACCTAAAAAAAAAAATTATTAAAATTAATTCAAACTGTACATTTTAAGGACAAAAATAATTATTTAAACAAACTGTCTTTATTTGATGTATCACATTCTGTATTAATAACTTTACAATGGCGGACACTTAATAATTCATAGACAATTGATGCATGGCATAGTTTTGATATGATGTCAATTGGATATTCGTTGGATTCAATACGATTAGCTGACATTTTAGAAATAGCGTCTTGTTTTCGCCTGAAAACCAAAAATAATTTATTTTGTAATAAATAGGTTTATAAAATTAAATGATTATATGCTTACTGTTTATAGTCTTTGACTGTCACATTACAAACAACATTACCACACAATACAAGACTACTATTAGACGGATTGTTTTTTTTCGACACCAATAAATTCAGTCCATTACTTCCTATCACATAGCCATTTATTTTGGCTAAATTTTGAACTGCCTCTTTCAACAGCGCAATGCGCAAGCATGTAACTGTATCATTACACTCATCAGAGCTAACTGAGACTACCTAAGTTCACAAAAAAAATTATAGAAACTAACTGATAAATTTGTGGCAATGAGATCATATACTTTACAGTGCCTTGGTGTTCATCATTACTACCATATTTGCAGCCAGATATTAAAATCTCTTTCAACACTGTTGATGTCCATAATTCTTTTTTTAACCATATAGATATATAATTTGAAGACCATGAGCAGCGTTCAACAATTGACAAGTCATCCACCAACTTTTCAACAAGGTTTTGTAAGTCCTAAAAAATAACAAACTCATCAGTGTTGAATAGATTGAAATTTCAAACTTTTGATGAATTAATATGTTTGACAACACTTACTTTAGCTGAATAGAAACGGATGTCCCCATTAATGTGGTGTTTCATCATTGGCATTTTAATGTCTATATCTAGCTCCACATGGGTGCGGACAAACAATTGCAATTCTTTGTAGAAATTGTCCAAAATGTACATGATTGTAATCAATACTATAGGCAGTTACTGAACTAGATTCAAAGTACTCAATTACTCATATAATAAAAATAATATAATATTCACAGCTTGGAAGCTATGTCCAGCAAGTCAGAACTAAGAGAAAGACTTAACTACCTACTTTGCTACTTTTTAAATAATTTCTATTGTCATATTATTTTCCTAGCAGAAGCTACGGCTAAAATTGTAATAGGTGCTGAATGCCGGTCTGCATTCACAATTCTGAATGCTAACAATTTATCACAAACTAGTAATGATAGACAATGCAAGATCACAGATTATAAAAGATGTAACAGTATATTAATAAAACTTTATATTACGCATTTATTATAACCATACTGCTATACGTCAACACATACAACGTACATGTATATATGAATGTATTATATTTTATTATAAAAGGACATTTATTTAAACTGAACTAAGTGTATTAAAATAAAGTCGTTTTTTGCAAATTTGCAATGCTTACAGCCTGCTTGTCAGCTTTGAATAGATAGCAACGAGAATGATAAGATTTTGTCTGATAATGATAGCATTGCTGATGAATGAACAACTATTGGTACAAACATACCAACACAACAAATACAAAACAGATTGGCGCAAACACAATATATTATCACAGAATAGATTAAATAGATTTAATCTATTCTGTGATATTATTCTATTCTACTATACTAGAATATAATACTTTTAGAAAATAAAAACAATTACGTAGCAGGTTTTACTATTGTTAACTAGATACGTCTTACAATTTAGATAGTTGATGATGCGAAAGTTGCCAAAAAAATCAACTAGAGTTAAAATAAAGAAAAAAATGGGAAGGGGACATGGGCGCCCTCAGACAAATGCATTTTAAGAATAAAAAAAAAAAATTTTTTAAATTTGCATTAGAAACACACCTTGAAGAATGCAGTCTACAATCTCAATATTCTTAAACCCTTAACATGCATTACAATAATTAGCTTATCCGAGATTGGTTAATTAGAAGGGCCCCATCACTGCCGTAAACACGCCTATGGGACATGGGTGCCCGTGTGGCGTGTGCGATATTTTATTGGGCCCTTTCCTAAATTAATTTTACTGTAAGTAAGGCATTAGAAACACACCTTGAAGAATGCAGTCTACAATCTCAATATTCTTAAACCCTTAACATGCATTACAATAATTAGCTTATCCGAGATTGGTTAATTAGAAGGGCCCCATCACTGCCGTAAACACGCCTATGGGACATGGGTGCCCGTGTGGCGTGTGCGATATTTTATTGGGCCCTTTCCTAAATTAATTTTACTGTAAGTAAGGCATTAGAAACACACCTTGAAGAATGCAGTCTACAATCTCAATATTCTTAAACCCTTAACATGCATTACAATAATTAGCTTATCCGAGATTGGTTAATTAGAAGGGCCCCATCACTGCCGTAAACACGCCTATGGGACATGGGTGCCCGTGTGGCGTGTGCGATATTTTATTGGGCCCTTTCCTAAATTAATTTTACTGTAAGTAAGGCATTAGAAACACACCTTGAAGAATGCAGTCTACAATCTCAATATTCTTAAACCCTTAACATGCATTACAATAATTAGCTTATCCGAGATTGGTTAATTAGAAGGGCCCCATCACTGCCGTAAACACGCCTATGGGACATGGGTGCCCGTGTGGCGTGTGCGATATTTTATTGGGCCCTTTCCTAAATTAATTTTACTGTAAGTAAGGCATTAGAAACACACCTTGAAGAATGCAGTCTACAATCTCAATATTCTTAAACCCTTAACATGCATTACAATAATTAGCTTATCCGAGATTGGTTAATTAGAAGGGCCCCATCACTGCCGTAAACACGCCTATGGGACATGGGTGCCCGTGTGGCGTGTGCGATATTTTATTGGGCCCTTTCCTAAATTAATTTTACTGTAAGTAAGGCATTAGAAACACACCTTGAAGAATGCAGTCTACAATCTCAATATTCTTAAACCCTTAACATGCATTACAATAATTAGCTTATCCGAGATTGGTTAATTAGAAGGGCCCCATCACTGCCGTAAACACGCCTATGGGACATGGGTGCCCGTGTGGCGTGTGCGATATTTTATTGGGCCCTTTCCTAAATTAATTTTACTGTAAGTAAGGCATTAGAAACACACCTTGAAGAATGCAGTCTACAATCTCAATATTCTTAAACCCTTAACATGCATTACAATAATTAGCTTATCCGAGATTGGTTAATTAGAAGGGCCCCATCACTGCCGTAAACACGCCTATGGGACATGGGTGCCCGTGTGGCGTGTGCGATATTTTATTGGGCCCTTTCCTAAATTAATTTTACTGTAAGTAAGGCATTAGAAACACACCTTGAAGAATGCAGTCTACAATCTCAATATTCTTAAACCCTTAACATGCATTACAATAATTAGCTTATCCGAGATTGGTTAATTAGAAGGGCCCCATCACTGCCGTAAACACGCCTATGGGACATGGGTGCCCGTGTGGCGTGTGCGATATTTTATTGGGCCCTTTCCTAAATTAATTTTACTGTAAGTAAGGCATTAGAAACACACCTTGAAGAATGCAGTCTACAATCTCAATATTCTTAAACCCTTAACATGCATTACAATAATTAGCTTATCCGAGATTGGTTAATTAGAAGGGCCCCATCACTGCCGTAAACACGCCTATGGGACATGGGTGCCCGTGTGGCGTGTGCGATATTTTATTGGGCCCTTTCCTAAATTAATTTTACTGTAAGTAAGGCATTAGAAACACACCTTGAAGAATGCAGTCTACAATCTCAATATTCTTAAACCCTTAACATGCATTACAATAATTAGCTTATCCGAGATTGGTTAATTAGAAGGGCCCCATCACTGCCGTAAACACGCCTATGGGACATGGGTGCCCGTGTGGCGTGTGCGATATTTTATTGGGCCCTTTCCTAAATTAATTTTACTGTAAGTAAGTATTACAATCTATAAGTGCCAACATTTTTAGGTTTTTTGCATACCAACGTATATATATATATATATTTGACAAGTCATCCACCAACTTTTCAACAAGGTTTTGTAAGTCCTCGAAAATAACAAACTCATCAGTGTTGAATAGATTGAAATTACAAACTCTGCTACATTTTACAATAAATAAAAAAAGTATGTAAATGCTATAAGTCCCGAACCTTGGTCATAAGGTTTTTTCCCCCGTCACTTACCTTTATGTAAGAGCCTTAGTTAGGTACCTACACGGCTGTATATATACATTACGTTATTATTTATTACTAGGGCTCGGATTTTGTAGCAAAATAAATCCTTAAAAAATCATTTTAAGTGGACAAAAAAAGCAAAGAAAAGCATATTTTATCAAATTTAATTCTAAAAAACAAATTTCAATTACACATAAAATTAAATATTAAAAAAGGAATTTACGACCATATGTTTATTTATCACGTAACTTTCATTAAAACTCATACTAATAGATGCTAATATAATTTTAATTTTTAACTTTTGGCATTTTGACGATTATAAAGAGCACTATACCTCACTGATTGTCGATTGATATTTACCAGTCAACTAAAGTATTGGAACGTGCTATAAAAATACTCAGATAATTTTCACTTTCCTTGAGTCGTAAATATAACTATAGATAATTGTAGATAAAACCATTTTGGCACAATAACCATCGTTATTTTATGAGTCATACATTAATTACTTGTTTTTTCACTGGTTTTATAATTTCAGGTAATAATAATTTAGTCCAAGTATAATATACATAGAAATAAGTTAAATTCTCAAGTCAAATGTATAAAAATATAGAAAAAAGAATCAAATAGGGGAAAGAGCAATAAAAAGCAAGTTTTGTGGAAAAAAGCAAAACAAAGTTTACTTCCTTAAAACGATTCAAAACGCATTTATATATAAGAATTATCTTTCTATCAAACTCCCCCCAAATGAAGCATTTGCTACAAAATCCGAGCCCTATTTATTACACTATAGTGTAGTAGTATAATATAATCACACAATTTTTTAGCAAATACTGCACACTATTATAGAATAATATTGTTTGATAACATATTAATGCCGAGCCCAGAGAGAATATTATATTCGCGATTAAAGTATCCATTGTTTTATTACTTCTGTAAATTTCAAAGCCTAATTTTAAATTTTTTCATGTCTCGAAACTTCTAGAGATTTATATTAAGTTATAGTTTAACCATTAAGACTAAAAACAATATTGTGAGATGCCGGACAAAAAAATGGACTCGCAACAGTAGTGTAAATAGCCTATACGCAGAGTTCCATGTTCTAAGTTGTATAGATTTAAACACTCCGAATAATATTATGTTTCAGAATCTGAAATAAAAAATGTATCATGTCATCCAAAGTATTAAAAAAACTCGAAAACTGATAACGACATATTATATTATAATATCTATCATCTATGGCGAAATCCGATCGTCGTCACTCGTCGGAGACGATTCACAATTCTAATAATTTCATTGAACAAAAGAGAAATGTGTAAGGCAACAATAAACATTTGCTCACATATTTCATTCTACTCAAGTAATTTTTATAAAAAAACTCGATTTTTTCAGTTCGGGCTTAGATAAAGAAAGAAGTTCCTCGATATGGCGTCTGCACTCAAGATATGACCTTGCAGCTATATATTTCCCGAAGAGTCGATGTATACGTAAGTTTGATTACCTATTCTTTTGGGGCTTACATATTTTACTTTTTAGTCTCAAAACTAAAATTTATTGTCACAGACAATTTGCTACCCCTGTAAAGTAAGGGCATATTTTCTGTTCCCGAGCGCGCAACACAAAAAAATACGCTTTTAGCACAAACGACGACGGCATATCCAGGTCGCAGAATCTGTTCTTACATATTTATACAATTAAATAGATATAAGATAGATAGATAAAAATATGCAAGTGCTTCGAATATTTAAACACCACCTTGATTAATTATTAAATTAAAAATTAAAATAATAGGTACTTTATATATTGTTGTAATTTAAATTTTAAAATTGTTATACCTCATTTCATTATCTTGATGATCAAACCTCCAACACGGACCTCCTTGATATAAAAATTTGTAATACACCATATATCTATGGTTTTATCATATTGACGTAGTATAAATTATAATGCAATCCGTGGTGATTGTCGAAGTAGTTGCAAAGACGCACTCGATCTAAAATTTCAGTTAGCAAAGCTGCAGACATGAACAAGAAACATGAAGCGATCCGTACGGTTTTTTTTTCATAATAAATCTCAATATTTTCAGACTTCAGTTCAGTCGTATATCTGATTTATTCCGCAGTGCACATACTATATCAGGAATTCCGCCGAAGCCCGAAAGCGTCGATGTTTAAAGTAATTAATATTGGTTTCATATTTTTTTGGTGCTTAAATTTATATTTTTACTTCAAATAAAAATTTAATTTCATGAAAAATATGCTACCCCTATGAACACACATATTATTTTATTTCTGAGAGCAAATGCATAAAATGCGAGAGATCGCAAATAATATACAAACGCCGCTCGTCGTCGTCGTTTTTCTGCTCCCTGATTGTAGGGTTATTTTATAATTAGGTATAACCTATTTTTAAGTACT